AAAAAAAAAAACTGAGCTAAGGGGCAGGCCCCCTGTTTATTTATTTGATACAGGGTCTCACTACATAGTGCAGATTTGTAGTGATCCTCCTGTCTCAGCCTCTGCAGCACTGGAATTAGACATGCACCACGACCCTGGTTTCAGGACCAGCATGGCATGTGGCACCTGAGATTGAACCCTGGTCCTTGTGCTTGCCAGGCAGGCACACCAGCTGTCTCCCCAGCCCTTTGTTTTTTTGTTTGTTTGTTTGTTTGTTTGTTTGTTTCTGAGACAGGGTCTTGCTATGTAGTCTAGGCTGACTTTAAACTTACAGTAATCTTCCTGCCTCAGCCCCCGAGTGCTAGGATTACAGAGTCAGGCCACTGAGTGTAGCTTGACCCATAGGTTATTCATAAATGCGTTGTTTAGCTTTCCTATTTAGGAATTTCCAGAGATCTTTCTATTGTTGATTTCTAATTTGGTTTCAATATGAGCACAGTAAATCTATGATTTGAATCATTTTTAGATTTATTTATTGTCATGTATATTTTATTGATATAATTAGCAGCCAGTATAGTATACATACAATGCAGTGTACAGAACTTGAGGGTTCAGTCTAGGAAGTGTGGGGCTGGGGAGACGGCTCGGCTAGTCATCTGCACTTCTCAGACAGGGACACACAACCAGAAGCTAAGGGCAGCTAGGTGTGCTGGAGCACGCCTGGGATCCCCGCATGCAGGAGGCTGAAGCAGGAAGGTCAGCGAAGTTTGAGGCCGCCTGGAGTACATGGCGAGACTCTGTCTTTAAAAACAATTGGGGCCGGGAAGATGGCTCAGTGGAATAAGCGCTTCCCTGGCAAGCACAAGGGCCCGAGTTCAATCCCCAGTTCCGCAAAAAAAAAAAAAAAAAAAAAAGTGGGGGCCAGGGAGATGGCTCAGTAGAATAAGCACAGTACTGAGTTCAATCCCCAGTACCAGAAGAAAAAAAAAAAAAAAATTAAGGGCTGGCGAGATAGTTCTGCAGGATAAAGCACCTGCTTAGGCAAGCTTAGGCAACCGCAGGGACTGTGGTTCGATCCTGGTCACCACATGCAGTCTGGGCACAGTGGCCCACGTCTGTAATCACAGCACTGGGGAGGCTGAAAGTAGGAGGATCACCAAGAGTCCAAGCTGAGTAGTGAGACCCTGCAACAACCAAATTCATTAAAAAATGAACAAAAATTACAAACAAAAGGCTGAGGGATAGCTCAGCAGTCTAAGCGCCTGCGTGGCAAGCACAAGGTCTTGAGTTCAGTCCCTGGTGCTGCATGCCGTGCTGCACTGTGCTGCCCTGAAACCAGGCGTGGTGGCCCTGGTCTGTAATCCCAGAGCTGCGGAGGCTGAGACAGGAGGCTCACTACAGTCCAAATTGCATAACAAGACCCTGTATTAAAAAAAAATAAAGGAGGGGCTGGTGAGATGGCTCAGTGGTTTAAAGCACCTACTTTACTTAGAACAAGCTTAGCAAAGCACAGGGACTGCGGTTCAATCCCCCAGCACCACATGCCAGCCAGCCCCGCCCCCTGGAAGGCTGAGCTGGCCACACACACACACACACACACACACACACACACAAATAGATAATAAAAATTAAAAAATAAATAAATAAAATAAAATAAAGGGGCCAGGGAGATGACTCAGTGGAATAAGCGCTTCCCTGGCAAGCGCAAGGGCCTGAGTTCAATCCATGGTTCTGCAAAAAAAATAAATAAATAAATACCCAAAATTACCCAAATTAAAAGGCCAGGGAGATAGCTCAGTAGAATAAGTGCTTGCCTGGCAAGCACAGGGTCCTGAGTTCAACTGCCTGGCATGAATGAAGTCCTGGGCCCAAGCTTCACCCACAATCAATCAATCAATCAATCAATGTAAAATGATACTCACTATAAGGAGTATATAGTTGAACCTCAATTTAAAAAAAAAATCAACCTGACAACCTCTATCTTTTAATTTGGGTGATTTGCATTAGGTGTGTGTGTGTGCATGCCGTACTGGGGATTGAACTCATGACCTTTCACTTACCAGGCAGGTGCTTATGCCACTGAGCTATCTCTCTAGCCTTTTAATTTGGGTAATTTTCAATACTGACTTAGTGGATATCTTGTTATTTGCTTGGAGGTTTTTTGTTTGTTTGTTTTGTATTTGTTAGGGAATACGAAATACAAATATTTTGTGTTTGTCTAGAGGGTGCTCAGGGCCTTATGACTGATGGGACTTGTAGTGATCCACCTGTTTATAGCTTCCCAAGAGCTGGGATTACAGGCACACGCCACCACGCCCAGATGCAGAAGTGTTTGTTTGTTTTCCTTTTTTCTTTTTGTGGTCCCAGGATTGCACCTAGGGCTTTGTGTATGCTAGGCAAGCGCTTTGCCATGAAGCCACAAGCCTGGCGCTTTTTTTTTTTTGGTGCAACTGGGGATTGAAATCAGGCCCTTGCACTTGCCAGACAAGTGCTTATTCTACTGAGCCAGCTCCCTGGCCCCCAGCCCTTTTTATTTTGATTTTGTTTCTCTCTCTTTCTCTCTCTCTCTCTCTCTTTTCTTTTTTCTTTTTTTTTGGCAGAACCGGGGATTGAGCTCCAGCCCTTGCACTTGCCAGGGAAGCACTTATTCCACTGAGCCATCTCCCTGGCCCTGCCCTTTTTATTTTGAGACGGGGCCTCATGAAATTTCCTGGGCTGGGTTTGAACTTGGAATTGTCCTGCCGCAGCCTTCCCAGGAGCTGCACGCCGGGTGATCCTGTTACTTTAAGCAGCTGTGTTCGGGGGTGTCTTCCAGTCTGTGGCTCATCAACGTGCCTTTATCTGTTTCTCTTTTGCGCTTTACTTTGTTTTTAGGTTTCTCATGGAAGCGAAGCCAGGTGATATTCAAGTGTGTGCCCCTGATTTATTTCACAGTGTAGTCTCAACACACATCCATTTTCCTACAAATGACTCCTGTCTAACCTTCTTGGTGGCAGAGTAGTACTCCACAGCATGTAGAGACCTCCTGTTCTTTATCTGCTCGTCTAGCAGGGGACATCTAGCTACTGCCTGTTTAGGACATGGGCATGCTTGGCTGTCTACAACTCCACACCGTTAGCTTTCCGGGGAAGACACCCGAGGGTCGGCTGGGTGGAATGGGGCGATAGCTGGGGTGTTCTGAGGATCTGGAGGAGCACTGGGCTCCCCCTCAGTCCCTGCCTCACTGGGGAGGCTGGACCAGGCCCCTGGGACCCAGGCCTGGGGGCCACAGCGGAGCCTCCCAGTGGTGCTCCGCCTCGCCCAGGGCAGCGCTCCTAAGCCTCACCTCCTAAAACTTCCCGCCCCCTGGCTGGGGGCGCCCCCACCAGGCAGTAAGGCAGGAAAACCTGTATCTAAGGGAATGGGGGGCAAGAAAGAGAAGGGTTAGGGAATTTTCTTTTATTTTTAAATTAATTTTATTAAGAAACAAATAGCAATGAGACAGTTTCAAAACTGATTAGTAGGGGCTGGTGAGATGGTTCAGTGGTCTAAAGCACCTACTTAGAACAAGCTTAGCAAAGCACAGGGACCGCGGTTCAATCCCCCAGCACCACATGCCAGCCAGCCCCGCCCCCTGGTGGGCTGAGCTGGCCACACACACACACACACACACACACAATAAATTATAAAATAAATAAAAAAAAACGATTGGTAGGACAGTTACAATAATTAATACATGCATATTGTTGTCTTCATAGTGGTTATTCATAGTACAAGATGCAGACATGATATCCTGTGCAAACACTATTAATATAAATCGTTCTTCTCACTGCTTTAAGAGAAAGCAGCTGTATATCTTCACTATTTTGTATATACAGATACAAAGTGGTCCTTTATTTGTACCCCCTTTTTTTGTTTAGTTTTGTCAGAGATGGGTATTCCATTGCCATTTAAATATTGTAGGTGTGTAAATTCAGCAAAATATTCCAACATAGTCCAGTAGTCCATAATAGTAGTGGGTTATCTGTAGGACTGGTGAGGTCAGAAGTTGTTGACCTGAGCCTTTTACAGCTCAGCATATTAATATGGCTTTACTTTTTATATCTCATTTTTATACTTTTCTGCTGGATGACCCAAGTTCTTGACCAAGTGTGATAGCTTTCTTCTTTCCTTCCTTCCTTCCTCTCTTGTTTGTTTGTGTGACACAGGGTCTTGCTATGTAGCATAGGTTGGATTGAAACCCGTAACCCTCCTGCCTCAGCCTACAGAGCACCCGGGTTACAGGCCTTGGAATCACCCCCAGCTGATAGCTTTCTTTTTCCTTTTTTTGGTTCTGGGAATCGAACTCAGGACCAGCTGAACTAACTCCCCCAGTAGTTTTCTGTTTTCAGAGAACCCAGCTCCCCAGAGGGAAGCCCTGAATGCACTCTGTCCTCCTCCAGACCGGGGAGCTACCAAGGAGCCCAGCCTGCCCCTGTTAACTGCAACACAGGTTGAGGGGAAACCTTGGGGTGACCCCAGCCGGGCCAGAGGGGGCACAGGGGCAGGTCTCATGTCCCTCGACTTCTGGCCGCCCCTGGCCACTCTGCACCCTGCACCCCTGACTCCTCCTTGAGTCCCCGGCAGCCTGCCTTCCCCTCACAGGGGCCCCCAAAACCTTTCCGCAGGAGCCACGCAGCGGATCGCGGCCTCATGGACCCCAGGACGGTGACCCTGATGGCTGGCCTCTTCTCCACGCTCAACAGCATTCAGTTCCTGATCTTCGACCTCTACCAGCTCACACACATCGGCTACGAGGACAAATACAGCATCTACCTGGACACGAGCTCTAAGGCCGTGTCGTGGTTCCTGAGCTACCGGAGCAGCGTGACCAGCGTGATGGCCCTGGTCACCGTCGCCATGGGCTGCGGCCTCCTGTGCAGCGTGCACCGCAACAGCTACCTGGGGCCGCTGCTGTACGCGCTGTGGATCGTGGCCTACGAGCTGGCCACCTTCTCGCTGCTGCTGCTCTGCAGCGGCCTCGTGCACCGGCGCTTCGGCGCGCTGCCGCGCCTCTACCTGGTGCTGCAGGGCTCGCGCATGGCGCTGCACTTCGCCTGCCTGCCCGCGGTGCTGCGGCACGCCTACGAGCTCTTCAAGGCCTTCAGGGTGGTCAACAAGGTCAGCCGCCGCCGCCGCTCCTCTGTCAGCACCGTGGACTCGTTTGGGGCGACGGGTCTGAGGCTCATGTACCGCAGGCTCACCTAGGGCCGCGCACGGCCCAGCCTGGAGCTGCGGGGCCCTCGGGGAGCAAGCCTGGGGAGGGGGCGGAGGTCTCCGGTCCCCGCCACAGTGTGCTTGTTGCAAAGCTGATGGCGCCAGCCTCTTGTTACATAAGCATCTCGCGGGTGTTTTGTCTCTCTCACCGCTCCTCTCCCTCGCATTTTCCTCCTGTGGATGCCCCGCTCTGCTCTGCTGGGCCCTTTTGGAGCAGGGCTGCCCACAGAAACTGCTGTGCCAACCGGGCCGAGGGAGGCTGAGGCAGGAGGATCATGGCAAGCTCCTGGCAAGCGAGTTCAAGGCCACCCTGAACGACATGGTGGAACCCTGCCTCAAATAAAAAAGCCAGGCGTGGTGACACAGGCCTGTAATCCCAGCATTCGAGAGGCTGAGGCAGGAGGATCACTATCATTTCAAGGATAGCCTGAGCTACATAGTGAGACCCTGTCTCAAAAGAAAGAAGGAAAGTAAGATGCTGTGTGGTGTATATGCCCCCCAACTCCTGAAACTGGGAGATAGCTCAGTAGAATAAGTGCTTGCCTGGCAAGTGTAAGGTCCTGAGTTCAATCCCTGGTATCACACACACACACACACACACACACACACACACAATGCCCCAGGGGGCTGGGGAGATGGCTCAGTGGAATAAGTACCTCCCTCGCAAGCGCAAGAACCTGAGTTCAATCCCAGCCTCCGCCAAAAAAAAAAAAAAAAATGCCCCCCACGCCACACCCACACGTGACTGGCTCCTAACCCCTCAATCTGTGGCTATTACGCCCAGAGGTTATCCACCTGATTCAAAAAAAAAAAAGAAAAGAAAAAGAAAGAAGAAAAACTTCAAGCCCATCCTAGGCAATTTAGTAAAACTCTCATTACAAAATGAAAGATTAAAAAGGGGCTGGGATGGGCCGGGGAGATGGCTCAGTGGAATAAGTGCTTCCCTGGCAAGCACAAGGGTCTGAGTTCAATCCTTGGTTCTGAAAAAAAAAAAAAAAAAAAAAAAGAAAAGAAAAAAAAAACGTGCCAGGGTTCAATCCAGCGCTGGAATAATAAAAGCCCCAGCTGTGTCTATTGAAACACTGTTGACATCCTGGAGTGCCCCTTGGTAGGGGCTGGTCTGAGCACTGTGGGATGCTGTGCTGGGAAGCACCTCCAACCCTTGGCTTCTACCCAGTGGACATCCGAGGAAGGCAACAAAACAGCCCCATGGAAGAATGACTGTTTCACTACTGTTTGAGATAAGGTCTCCCTGTAGCCCAGCTGGCCTGGAACTGAGGTCAGTCCTCCTGCCTCAGCCTCCTGAGTGCTGGAACTGCGGGTGTGCTCCACCACACCCAGCACAAATCACTGAAGTGGACTCGCTGCAGCACTGAGAGTTTTCAGCCACTAATTCACTCCCCAGAGTACTAAAAGGAGAGCCACACACCAAGCACAGAGACGCACATCCATAATCCCAGCTACTTGGGAAGCTGAGGCAGGAGGACGGCAAGTCTGAAGCCAGCCTGAGCAAATCGATGACAAACTGCTTCAAAATAAAAAAAAAATAAAAATAAAATAAAATAAAAAGCTGGGTGCAGAGGTAGACACCTGTAATCCCAGAACCTGGGAGGCTGAGGCAGGAGGAGATCAGCCTGGACTAATAGCAAGCCCTTGTCTCCAAAAACAAAACACACACACACACACACACACACACACACATACACACACGTCAAAAAATAAAAAATAAAAAGGGACTGGGCTGTGGATTAAAGATAGGGTGTCTGCCTAGCAAGCCAGCAGGAAAAAAGGAAGGAAAGAAAATCATCTTTTTTTTTTTGGCAGAACTGGGTATTGAACTCAGGCCTTGTGCTTGCCAGGAAAGCACTTATTCCACTGAGCCACCTCCCCAGCCCCCAGAAAAATCATCTTTTTTAAGGCTATTTCTGCTCCTATCTCCCTCAAAAAATTCTTGCAGGGACCGGGGAGATGGCTCAGTGGAATAAGCGCTTCCCTGGCAAGCGCAAGGGCCTGAGTTCAATCCCGGTTCCGGAAAAACAAAACAAAACAACAACAACAAAAAAAATTCTTGCAGGGGCCGGGGAGATGGCTCAGTGGAATAAGCGCTTCCCTGGCAAGCGCAAGGGCCTGAGTTCAATCCCCGGTTCCGGAAAAACAAAACAAAACAACAACAAAAAAAATTCTTGCAGCAGAGGAACATGTTTGGGCCCCTCGCTGTCCAACAGGAGCAAGCTAACGATAGATCACTTTTACTGAACACCTACCTAGGAGGGGCCGACTTCTAGTCTACCAAAAGTCAACCCACATTACCCCAGGAAGTTTGGATCGGTGGCAATTCCCGCTGTGACCACAAGGGGGAAGTCGGCAATAAGCTTTCGCTTGGAGAAGGGCCCGGGAGAAACTGGGTCCAAGACCCGCAATCTCCACCGTGCTCCCTAGGCCGCGCGTGCCGGCACACCTAAGCACACCACGCGATCGCAGCACCCGGAAGGCTGACGCAGGAGGATCCCTGAAAGTTCAAGGCCAGCTTAGGCTATACAGAGAGATCCTGTCTGCAAAGAAAACAAAACAGGGATTTGTCGAGCAGACAGGTTCAGACTCTTGGCGACAGGTAGCAGCCCTGTCTCGCTTCCAGTTGACGGGACGGTCCCCTGGTGCGGACTGCCTCAGCCTCCTGGTCCTCCTCCTCTTGCTTCCTTGCTCAGAGGTCTCTGCATAGCTCCATGGAGGAAGCTGTCACAGGGAAGATGTCCGGCCCAGCCCACTTTCTAGGGCTCAGGGCCAGGGACTCAGCCTGGTGCTGCGGAGGCTGTGTGGCTCCCCAAGTGCGGGGGCAAGCCACTGTGTCCCCTATGTCCCCTGGGGGCAGCAGGGACTCACACAGGGACAGGGGTTCGCTGCGCTGAGACAGAGGTTCCTTGCCCACGCTCTGTGTCTGCCTCCCTCTCTCACACCGCAGGACGTCTGCGCGGCCCCAGAGACCACGCTGTCTCGGCCCTAGCGCCAGGTCCTTTGGCTTTGGCATTTTCCTCGAGGCCCTTGATGACCACTTCTCCCCTTCTGTGGGCTGCCCAAGGCCCTCTTAGCAGTTCTGTGTGTGTGTGTGTGTGTGTGTGTGAGAGAGAGAGAGAGAGAGAGAGAGAGAGAGAGAGAGCGCGAGAGAGACAGACAGACAGACAGACAGACAATTGAGCCTCCTGCCTCAGCCTCGCCAGTGCTGGATGAAGGGCCTGCGCCACCACACCTGGCCTGGCCATTGTTTTGGTTTTTTTTACGGAACCGGGGATTGAACACAGACCCTTGCGCTTGCCAGGGAAGCGCTTATTCCTCTGAGCCATCTCCCCAGCCCTGGCCATTGTTGTTGTTTCCCAGGACTTTCCCCCCTCAACATTTTTCTCAGTCCATTTTACATTCCCT